GGATATGGAGCCGCTGGTGGCTTCAAACTGCTGACCTTGCAGTTAGCAGCTCAGCACTATTCCACCAGGGCTCCCTGGCAACTTTTAAGAGGACAGAAAAGCGCCTACTTTAAATGCAAACACCGCCAGAACAGATGAACTGAATGACATATTCTGAGATTTACAAACCCTACTCTGTTGCACAGGAATATGTATAGAAATAAACAAACCTGGAACTTACATTCAGATTAGAATTGATGCCACAGTTTAGCTGCCTTGAATTAGTGGTGCAGGAATGACGAAGAAAATTTTGGCTAAAACGTCTGCACTGCTGGTTCCCCTAAAAATTAAAAATTGCCTCTGAAACTGTTGAAGATTAGCTAGCATAAGCATAATATACTCCATATGGTTTATATCCTGAACCAGCTTTGGTTAAGTAATGAAAAATTCCTTGTGGTCAAGATGTACTGCCTTTGAAGAACTGTATTATTAGAAGATTTATAGGGGTCCTGATTGCACTGTGGCAATGAGTTTCACAAGATGATATTTGCAAATAAAAAGGAGAAAGACTGTTGTCTAAAAATTGATTGTATGAATTGGTGAGATTCCATTATGCTAATTGGTCATTTATAGTCACTTGCAAGGATCATCCAGAGATAAAGGGAACACTGATTGGCAGTTTTCTGTAGTTTCTTTGGTATTTCTTAAATTTGGGAAAGAAGGAATCTTGAAAACTTAGTCTGTTTCCATGTGCCCTGAACACATTGTAGGCCTAAAAATCTGCTCATAGCTATTCATTTATTTCTAGGATATGTTCAGATTTCAGTGGACAGCATAGCCTGTTGAGTTCAATAGGGTTTACTTAGCTATGAGATATGGTAAGTTACTTTAGGGTAACGAGTATTGATTTTAAAATGTGGTTTTGCCTTTCTGTAGTTGAATGCTCAGTATAAAAATGCTTTGTCATGAATAACTTATGTAAGTGGCAAGCAAATTTTCATTTTCTTAATATGTCCAGGTAAACATCTATCAGAGTACATAGGTTTCAGGATTTTATTTCTAAACCTTAAGCAAAGCTTAGATAATGATTTTATACACACACACACACACACACACAATTAAAAAAGTTCATGGGGAAATTCCTTTATCAATTCCACTTATCCAGGAGTGACATTTTAAAATTTCCTGATACACACATACAAATGAGTGTGTGTGTAGCAGAATTAAATGTAAAACATTAGAGGAGAAAAGAAACTCTGGTTACAAGTACTTAAATGTGCATACTGGCTCTTTAAAGAGACAACGGATGATAAAGAAATTCTATGAAACAAATCTCATTTTAGACCATTTTTCAATAGTGCGTTGAAAAGAATTTGAACAACTGACAAAGATCCCACAAGTTTTGTACAATTCTCTACTGAATACTATATTCTTGTTATCACAACAAGAAATGTTTTTTTCAGAATGACATTTGTCTTTTAGAAATAGATTTTTTAAAAGAGGAAAGATTTGGAAGAGCAACTCTTGTTTATTCTAAGAAATCCAGGATCTTTGCCATGGTTTCCCAGAAGGTCCATGTGTTCCGTTAGAGGTAAGGAAGATGCTAAAGGTCCTCATTCTTTGGGAAGAAGTGGTCTGGACTGTGAGTGCAGTGTCACTGTCCTGGCCACCTAATAGAACCAGGATTTTACATCACTCTTGCTGTGAAAT